TGGCGCTCGTGAGACCTGGTGCCAGCTGTGTGCAGGTGTGTGCCAGGTGCTGTCAGATGCAGTAGCTCCTGCAGTCCTCCTGGTGAGGAGAGCTAACACCCTCACCTTCACAGAACGGAGGCCCAGGCTGAAACAGAGAAAGGGACTTGACTCAGGTCAAGGCTCCCACTGCTGATTCATTTTCTGAACCTCCTGCCTCCCGTCCCCATCAGATCCCCTACTGGGGGCAGGAGAGAGGCCCATTGGATGTCCCTCCTCCTGGGCTGTGGGGTGCTCAGATAAGCTGGCAGGCAGGTGCAGATACCACCTCCCTGGGCTGGGCTCAGTGAGGGGCTCTGTTCTCTCCTGGCAGGTGGTGGCAGTGGACCCAGACCTGGGGGAGAATGGCACTGTGGTGTACAGCATCCAGCCGCCCAACAAGTTCTGCAGCCTCAACAGCACCACGGGCAAGATCCGCACCACCCACGTCATGCTGGACCGTGAGAACCCTGACCCCCACGAGGCAGAGCAGATGCACAAGGTCATCGTCTCCGTCACTGACCGGACGGACCCCTCGTGCCCCTCACAGCCCCACATGCCTTGGGCTGTGGCCCTCAGGGACCTGGGGACATGCTCAGTGATTGGTCCTCTGGGGGGACTGGAGCCCACCCAGAAGGGCTCTGTCTGATCGCTAGAAGTGGAGTAATTCCCACGTCCAACTGTGACCCCCAGAGTGCCCTGAGGGGTGGAGGGGCTAGAGGGATGGGCACCGATGGAGCGGCGCTGTCTGCTGCCCTCCCCCCACTTGCCTTTCTCCCCGCCCCTTCCCTCCTGCACCTGTCTTTCCTCGGCCTCTTCTCTCCATGTTTCCCCCAGGCGGCAGACCCCCTCTGAGGGCCACCAGTCGTGCCACAGGGTCTGTGAACCTCTTGGACCTCAATGACAACGACCCCACCTTTCAGAACCTACCTTTCGTGGCCGAGGTGCTAGAAGGCACCCCCGCAGGGGTCTCCATCTACCAAGTGAGTCTCCCTCGCCTTGTCTTTTCCAGCCATTGAGTGGGCAGTGGGTGCCCATGGGTGCCTAGCCCTGTGCTGAGCAGTTTGTAGGGGTAGGGCAGGGGATGCCAACCAAGACCACCAGACTGTACGCAAGCTGCACCAGGCTTGCAGAGCCAGTGCTGTGAGAGACTGGCAATGGCCGAGATGATCTAGGAAGGCTTCCTGAAGGAGGAGGGGCTTGCACTGAGTGTTGAAGGACAGATGGATTTGGAGAGGTGGAGGGAAAGCACCACAGGAAAGGATAAGGAGATAAAGGCAGAAGTAGAGGGACGAGGGAGGGAAAGACAGAACCTGGGAAGCCAAGTCAGAGAGTTCCTCAGGGCATGATTATGGAGGTCTGGCCCAAGACCCTCGATACCCCAAGCCTGCAGGGAGTTCTAGGAGACAAAGATCAGACAAGTGCAGCTCGGGCACCCTCCTGTGTGGGCACCCCGCTCTCCCAGGCCCTCCCATGAGCCCCAGGGCAGCCCCCTGCAGTGGACGGGATTCTTTCCACTTTACAAAAGACTCTAAAGAGACTTGCCCAAGTTCCTGTGGCCAGTACTGAAACTGGCTCTCTTGCCTCCTGCTCCATCATCCTGCAGGGAGGCCTTGAGGTGCTGGTTCAGGGGAGATGATGCCCTACCATGGGCCATTTAGAAACACGGGAAGGCCCTCATGGTTAAGAGCATGGACTTTGGAGCCCAACCAATACAGGCGTGGATCCCAACTCTGCTCCCCGCATGCTGTGTGACTTGGAGCAAACTACTTATTCTGTCTGAGCCTCAGTTTTCTTTCCTGTGAAATGGAGATGATAATAGTACCTGCCTGGCCATGCAGTAGGGATCCAATCAGACACATGTGCAAAGCAATCTGGTACTTGCACTGAAGGAAATACTAGGTAGCTGGTGTGTTCATTATGTGTCTGTCGTGAGGGCTTATAGCCAACAGACAGCGGGATCAGGTTAGCCTGTTCCCATGAGGAAGTCAGGGTTGTGTGTCAGGATGCCAGGGTGGGTAACCTTGGCAATTCCCCACAGGCCCACTGTGCCTCAGTTTCTTCATCCGTAAAAGGAGAGTGTTTTTTGACTGGTCCCTGGGAACATCCAGTCTCTCCAGCAGTACATTCTCCCCAAACCCCCAGCAGGGGGAGCTGAGATCTAGGGAATGAAAGCCAGTCCCAGGGGAAAAGTCCCCACTAGGAGGGGGCGGGGTGAGAAAGCAAGTGAACCCCCAAACCCAGTTCTCTGGGGCTCACCGACAGCAGAGGAAAGAGATGCCCACCAGTGCAGCTCCTGAGACCGCAGAGGAAGGGGCTCAGAACCATGAAAGGTGGTTCAAGGAGCTGGGAGTGTTGAACTTGGAAACTGTCTTCAGATAGAGGAAGAGGTTCTGACTTGATCTGTGTGGTTCCCTGGTCCCAGTGCTGTGAGGACTGGAGGATGAGGCAAGATTGCTGAACCCTGGACAGTTTGGGGCACACAGAGCCTGCTGGAGGAAAGCTGGGAGGGCTCCCTAGTGGGGAGAGCAGAGTTTAAAGGGGGAAGACTGAGGACCTGCGCTTTTGCTCTCCTTCTGGTGCATTGGACCAGAGGATGTCTGGACGCCTTTCATCTGACATGCTGCCCCCTTAGAGAGCATCTGGGAAGGTGCATTGGGGACAGTGGCCCAGCCTAAAGCTCAGAGGGGAGCAGGTTTGTGTGACTGCGGCCAAGTATGGGTCTGCAGGAAGGAGGGGAAGAGGGGGCCCTTCTCAGTGGAGAAGCATCGGTCCTGGTATCTCCACCCCTCACGCAGCCCCTCCTCTCCCTCAGGTGGTGGCCATAGACCTGGACGAGGGCCTGAATGGTCTGGTGTCCTACCGCATGCAAGTGGGCATGCCCCGCATGGACTTCCTCATCAACAGCAGCAGCGGCGTGGTGGTCACCACCACCGAGCTGGACCGCGAGCGCATTGCCGAGTACCAGCTGCGGGTGGTGGCCAGCGATGCAGGCGCGCCCACCAAGAGCTCCACCAGCACACTCGCCATCCGTGGTGAGGGCAGGCGGCCTCCCCATGGACAGAGCACATGTCTCCCAGGGACAGTGCTAGGTGGTGTGGGGAGCCCATGCCCACCACTGCTGTCCACTGCCCATGGGGGCACAGGCTCCCTTGCTAAAGGGGTGCCCTCCTCACCTGGAGCCATTTAATACAGCAGAGCCTCCCCTGTCTCTACCAAGTTAAAAATGCCAGCAGAGCCATCTCCCCACCTGGCCACTGCCTTCAGTGTCCTGAGCTCAGGGACAATGGCCTGGACCTACTGTCAAGGTCCCCCACCCCTTCTAGCCTCTGATCCTAGTATCAGCAGAGAGAGTGTGAACAGGGACTGAGACCCTCAGGGTCATGAGCAGGCAGGGAGTTTGCAGAGCCCCTTATCTTCTTTGGAAGGCCAAAGTTTTGATTTGCAGCTGGAAAGGAGACTCTCCACTCCCATGGGCCTGGGCTAGCAATGGAAGGGCATCGCCTGGGAAGAGGCAGCTGGGATTCCCAGACTCCCTAAGACTCCTCATCCCCTTGGGGCTCTCAGGCTAATTCCCACTGTCTTCCCCCTCTATGGGTTCAGGGTCGGGAGGCGGGTATTATCTCTCATGCACTCTGGGTGTGTCTTTATTTCTTGGAACAAGATGGGGACATTGACATGAGCTGTTGCCAAAGGTCCAGGAATAAGCCCAGGGAAATAAGTGCAGAGCCTAATGGGCAAGATGAGGCCAATTCTCTAGGCCTGTGCTGGCCCATCCTGGCTCCATGGGATGGTGGGATGGGGGAGTGGTTAGCTCAGCACAACGCAAACATCGACCCTCCTCAGCTGAGCCCTGAGTGGTAAGGATTACAGAAAGCCCAGTGTTCTCTTTCCTGTCAGTCCAAGGCTTGCTGTGGGTTCCTGGAGCCAGTCTGAGGACCCGCTTCTTCACTGACAATTGACAGGCGTATGCCCAGTCTTTTAGAGAAGACCACCGGAGGGCCCTTCTCTAAAGTCCCACAGAAGCCATATCATTAAATGAGCCCATCATTTCTCCTGATGATTCCACATAGAGTAGCCAGAGTGAGGTGGGGAGCACTTCATTATAAAGGTTGCCCCAAGCCCCATGTGCCTGAGGAGTAGGGGCTGGCATGCAGAGCTGAAAACAACTGGAAGGGAAATCAGGCCTTTGTGGGGGTGGAAGGGACATTCTGAAAGGTAGCTCCCTTCCCTAGGACCCCATCGCAGACTGGGGTCCACCTCCTCAAGATCATGGCCCCTCCACTCTGCCGCTGTGTGACTTTGGGCAAGTCACTCAACTGCTCTGAGCCTCCGTGTCCTCGTCTACGGTGCGTCTAATAATGCCTGCCTTGTAAGGACGTGCCAGGGGCGTGTGTGGTGCTGTGTGGGAAGCACCTTGTTAGCATGGGCTTGGCACATGGAAGAGCTCATAAACAGTCACTGTCATCACCACCATCACAGTCATTGTCGTCAGGCACATACTAGAGAGGCGCTCTGGGTTCTCTCACCTCCCTTTGACAGCGTGAGCAGCAGCAAACACCCCTGGATCAGGGACAGCGGGAAGACGCGAAGCTCTAGTCAGCCCAGTCCTAGCCCCAGTGCACACAGGGAGCCCTGGGCTCATGACCACGAGGTGTTGACATAAATGCCACTTGGAGCCCCAGACGCCCTTAGGAATTAATTTCCTGTTTGGTCTGGGGCTTGAGCTGCTGTCTTTGGAGCTGGGTTGTCCAAAGCAGGAGGGGGGCCTAGCTCGTGCACCGTTCTGCCCCCAGTGCTGGATGTGAACGACGAGACGCCCACCTTCTCCCCAGCCGTGTACAACGTGTCCGTGTCCGAGGACGTGCCGCGGGAATTCCGGGTGGTCAGGCTGAACTGCACGGACAACGACGTGGGCCTCAACGCTGAGCTCAGCTACTTTATCACAGGTGTGCCCAGTCTCTGCTCACCTTGACACAGGCCTCTGGGGCCCTGCCTGCATCCCTCCCAAATGTGGAACCAGACTGGGTGGGGACAGCTAGGGGCAGGAGCCAGGCTCAAGTCTCTACCATCAGCTTGAGCCCCTGCTGGTGCATCCTGAGGATTTGTCCTTGGCTTTTCCCAAAGGCTTTGCAGCAGAGAATTGCTGTGGTCTGGCTCCCCAGGGACCTCCTGAACCTGTGGGGGTCAGGGGGGTGGGAAGGGGGCAGATTTACCAGGTTTGTTCTGGAAGGAGGTGGAGCCAGTGACTCCTAGGGAACAGCCTTGATCCCCATGACCCCAAGTCAGGGTGAGGAAGCAGTGACTGGAGGAATGTGGCCTGTCCTTCCCCGGGGACCCCTTACTCATGAGAATTCCCAGCTGTTTAGAGGCAGATAGTTTCGATCTCCCTAAATGAACTGGTTTTCACTTTAAAATGTTGAGTAGCTACCACCCAGAGAGCTGTGGTGAAAGATTATGATGCCGTGTCCCAGCTCAACAGGGGAAAGTGGGCCATGATCGATTAGTGCTGTCTGCCCTGGGGGCAGAACTGGTAGGTGGTGGCACATACGCCATGTATCTGTCATTCCTGGATTAGAACAATTTCTCAGCATTCTTCAGTCCCTGACACACCTGAGGGGTGCGACACACACATGGGAGGTGCAGAGGGTTCTTCCGCATTCCTCGGCCCTCCCTGGCTGTTTTCCTGTCTGTCTTCTCTCTGCCCATGACCTGCCTGCAGCCACATTACACACATGCTGCATGTGCTTGACGTGCCGCTGTACACACATGCAGTGCACACACCAGCCTCTCCGGCACTTCTCCGCCTGGAGCAAAGAATGCCGGCTCACAGCCCATCCACAGCTTGCTGCAGCCACAGTGACTTCCTAGATCCTTTCCTCCCCTACCCTCCCTAAATAGGGACCCAGCACCCCCAGGCCAACTCCTCACAGTCTGGTCCTCGAGTCTGCCCTAGGAAAGGCTCGGTTACCAGCACCCCCCCACATGACACCCACCCCATGGTTCAGCGACCAGCACTACTTGTATCTTAGTTCCTCTCTTGCCCCCTGAGGAGCCAGATTGTGTCCCTTGCAGCTGGTACTTCAGATGCTGAGGAGCACTGGAGGTTTGGGGTCGGGTGTCTGATGATACCGCATAGAGTAGCCAGAGTGAGGTGGGGGCACTTCATTATAAAGGTTGCCCCAAGCCCCATGTGCCTGAGGAGTAGGGGCTGGCACGCAGAGCTGAAAACAACTGGAAGGGAAATCAGGCCTTTGTGGGGGTGGAAGGGACATTCTGAAAGGTAGCTCCCTTCCCTAGGACCCCATCGCACACTGGGGGTCCACCTCCCCAAGATCACGGCCCCTCCACACTGTCACTGTGTGACTTTGGGCAAGTCACTCAACTGCTCTGAGCCTCCATTTCCCCATCTGCGGTGCGTCTAATAACGCCTGCCTTGTAAGGATGTGCCAGGGGCGTGTGTGGTGCTGTATGGGAAGCACCTTGTTAGCATGGGCTTGGCACATGGAAGAGCTCGTGAACAGTCACTGTCATCACCCACATGACACCCACCCCATGGTTCAGCCACCAGCACTACTTGTATCTTAGTTCCTCCCTTGCCCCCTGAGGAGCCAGATTGTGTCCCTTGCAGCTGGTACTTCAGATGCTGAGGAGCACTGGAGGTTTGGGGTCGGGTGTCTTTCCCCTGGGGCAAACTAGTAAGAACAAGGGAGTACCTGGCAGCCCCCAGGATGACTTCCTGGCACTCTGAAGTGGCAGGTTCCTGCTGACACATTCTGCAAGGAGCAGAGCTGAGTCCAAGCTTGCCCCAAACCTAGTACAGTGGCGCCCTCTGCCACCCAGAACATTGCATTACCTGCCAGCTGAGGGGGGGGCGTGTCTCCCACACTGTTCTGATGGAGTCCTTTGGGGACCCTCACACTTTCCACCTGTCCTTGAACTCAGGAAGGCTCAGGAACACCTGTCTCCCGTCCACCTGCCCCTACTCTTCCCTCTGTGGCACCTCAATTGAGTCCCCACTCAGAGAGCTGTTGTCCCCAGCCCGTCCCCTCCCCCAGCACCCTGAATAAGTGGCTTGGAGGATGCTCACCGACTCTGAGTCCTTCACCACATAGAAAAGCCCCAACCCTCTGGCACATATAAAAGCCCCAACCCGGGTGAACTGCTCAGACACTTCTGCAGGACAGGAAGAGAGCATAGGGGTGAAGGACACAGGCTCGGGAATAAGTGCAGAGGCCACTGCTACCCAGAACAGCACACGGAACCCCACTAAAGGATCATTTTTTCCTCTCAGCAAAGTGGATATTGAATGAAAGGGTCCACGTGAGTGCCTGGTACACAGTAGGTGCTCAGTAAATGTTAGACACATGATTCCAGGCATTCGGTGCCCCTACCTGAGCCCACAAAGCCTTTCAGTCCTGGACCACCCCTGGTGTGTCCCAGCTCAGGAGCAGAGTTGTGTGCCACCTCCCTGTCCCTGGCTGGGAGCTCTGTTTCCCACTGTAAAGATTCATTCTCTTTTGACCCCAGGTGGCAACGTGGATGGGAAGTTCAGCGTGGGCTACCGCGATGCCATTGTGAGAACGGTGGTGAACCTGGACCGGGAGACCACAGCTGCATACACTCTCATCTTGGAGGCCATTGGTATGTGCCAGCCCACCCCACATACCACCAACATGGTGATTCTGGGCAGAGTTCACACGGGCTGCTCTTCCAGGAGCCAGGCTGTGGGCTCTGACGCCAGTGGAGAAAAGGCCACCAGACACTCACCAAATATTACCAAGCACTTGCTGGGCATGAGGCTCACTGCTCTGTGCTATATGCAAGATGCTAGGATGGTAAGTGGGGAACTATGTGGGTGACCAACATGTGGACAAATCACTGCCACACCAGGTAAAGCAAAGCAGAAAGGGGAAGAATGACATAAGAGTATCAAGCACAAAAGGTGGTGGAAACATGGAGGGAGAGAAGTCGAGGAAGGCTTCCTGGAGGAAGTGGCACCCGGGAGTGCCTCTGAATAAGTTAGGACTCTTTTGGTTGCAAATTTTAAAATAGAATAAACTGACTTCAGCAACGTGGGCTCACAAAAACAGTCCCCTGGGATGAAGAATGACCTAAGAGTATCAAGCACAAAAGGTGGTGGAAACATGGAGGGGGAGAAGTCTAGGAAGGCTTCCTGGAGGAAGTGGCACCCGGGAGTGCCTCTGAATAAGTTAGGACTCTTTTGGTTGCAAATTTTAAAATAGAATAAACTGACTTCAGCAACGTGGGCTCACAAAAACAGTCCCCTGGGATATTTAGCTTCAGGTAGGACAGGATTCAAGGCTCAGGCGATGCTGTCTCGCTTCAATCTCTCAGCATTGCAGGCTCTGCCTCCTGTGTGTTAGCTTCCTTCTCTGCCTCACCTGGTGGCAAACTGTTATGGCAGCCCCATCTTTACACCCTCCCAGGTTCAAGTGCAGCAGCAGCGAAGACAACACTTGTCTCTTTCCCAGTCTCCCCAGCAGATGTGCTTGATTAGTTCTGATTTGGTCCATTTTGCCCCGGTGCCCATCCCTGAGCCCCTCATCATGGCCAGGGGAGTATGACGTGCAGTTAGTCAGGCCTAAGTCACATGCTCATCCCTAAGTTGTGCGTGGCCCCACCTACGTGGAATCCTAGGACTCAGGGCCAGGAAAGGAGGGTCCTCAGAGGGACATTCAGGGCATGGTCTTCCCAGGAGAAAGCAGGATCGTGCTGATTGGCAGGAACATGGGTGCCCACTGCAGCCTTGAAGGCCGAGTAAGGTTCAGGAACTGGAGAATCAGGGAGGGCATTTCAGGCAGAGGAAACAGCCCATGCAAGGGCCTGGAGGAGGGAATGAGCCGTGTGTGTGAGCGTGCGTGTGTGTGTGTGTGTGTGTGTGTGTGTGCATGTGGTGTGTGCGTGTGCGGTGCGTGCATGTGGTGTGTGTGTGTGTAGCAGCTGGCCACTGGGGAGGGGGAGGCTGTGATCAGATAGGGCTGGGCTTTGGAGGTTGGAAGTTTGGTCTTGGGCTCCAGGCAGCAGGGGGTCTTTGAGGAAAAGAAGGGTGTCGAGGAGGCCCGTGTTCCCCCAGGAGGCCTCGGTCCTCCCAGGAGCACCTATCTCAGTGTTTGCAGTGAGCTCTGGGTGAGAAGGGACTGAGCTCTCTGTGCCTCACTCTTTCCAATCAGCAGTCCCTCCCCCTGCCCACCCATCCTCACATGCCTCTGCCCTGCTCACCTCCCATCTGGGGAGCCACCCCATCCTCTGGAGACCCGTCATGCCCCCTGAGTACAGCCTTTGCTGCAGGCATCAGCTGGCAGAAGAGGGCTCCAGCTCAGGCCTTCTAGGGGGCTCTCAGCTCACACTGTCTGCAGCCAGAGTGAGTAAGCAGAACTCTCAGGGTGGTGGGAGGCTGGTCTGGAGAGGAGCTTAGGAGAGTGAGATGACCAGCCCAGGATAGGTGACTGCACCTCAGCATGTGGTCAGCTGGCCTGGGAAAAAGCATGGAGTCAGCCTTGGTCCCCAGCCAATTCCAGCTGCCTGTGCTCCTCCCCGGGGTGACCGCCCGTGCCTAGACATGCAGCACTGGGCACAAGCTCCTTCCTCCAGGGAGGACAACCCAACAGCTGCCCCGGGGGCTGAGCCAAGGCTCCCATCCTCACCACCTCCCAGCCCTGGAAGCGTCCTACAGGAGCAGAGTCCCTGGATATGTCAGGCTTAGAAATCGGGCAGGGGCCCTCAAGCCAAATCCATCATGTTGGTGTGTGTTGCACCCATCCAGTGTTTTATAAGGAATGACAGTTAGACATGAACATTTAAAATCAAGAAATTTTATTTAAAACTTCAGATGCTCAGTTTCTCTTAAGAAATTGGAACATCCGGTGTCCCTGGGCCCACATTCTACCATCACCTGCGGACTGAAGCAAAGGAGAGCTGCCCCTTGAGGTGGGCCCACCCAGGAGTGGGACCCATGTGCCTTACCCACCAGGCCCTGAGCACAGTTGGCTTTTTGGCCTTAGTACCTGTGTCTGTTTCCTAGGTTTGCCATAACAAATGACCACAAACTGGGTGGCTTAAAACAACAGAAATTTATTCTCTTGTGGGGTCTGGAGGCCAGAAGTCCAAAATGAAGGTGTTGGCAGGGCCGCACTCCCTGCAGAGGTCTCTGGGGCAGTATCTTTCTTTAGCTCTTCCAGTTTCTGGAGGCTTCAGGTGTGCCTTGGTTCCTGGCTGCATCTTCACACGGCCTTCCCTCTGTCTCAGATCTCCCTCTGCCTTTCTCTTACAAGGACACTAGTCATCGGATTAATGGCCCACCCAGATAATCCAAGATGATCTCATCTCCAGATCCTTAACTTAAGTACATCTTCAAAAGCTATTTTTCCAAGGACGGCCTGTGGCTCACTCGGTAGAGTGCGGTGCTGATAACACCAAGGCCACGGGTTCGGATCCTATATAGGGATGGCCGGTTTGCTCACTGGCTGAGCCTGGTGCTGACAACACCAAGCCAAGGGTTGAGATCCCCTTACCGGTCATCTTTCTTTAAAAAAAAAAAAAGTGGGCCGGCCCAGTGGCGCACTGGATAGTGCGCCGCTTGGGAAGCGCGGCGGCGCTCCCGCCCGAGGGTTCAGATCCCACATGCAGACCAGTTCCCGCTCACTGGCTGAGCGAGGCGTGGGAGCAGCACTGAGGGTTGCAATCCCGTTGCCGGTCCCCGGTCCGGTACGGGGGCAACACTGAGGGTTGCGATCCGTTGCCGGACATGGAAAAAGACAAAAGACCAAAAAAAAAAAAGCTATTTTTCCAAATAAATTAGCATTCATGGGTTCCCCAAGATTTGGCCAGGGTATATCTTTTGGGGAGCTGCCATTCAATCCACTCAAGTGCCTCAGTCACCTTCTCGGCAGAATGGGGGCAGTAACAATACTGCCTGGTTTACAGGGTTGTTGTGAGGGCTGCATGAGTTGGAACAATGCTTGGCACGTGGCGTTATCTAAGCAATAGATATTGTTAGTGTTAATCCTAATCTGGAAAGGAAGAGCGTTACCCCTTGCAAAGGCCAGGACTGGTAGAGGAGAACAAAGCACATCTCTGGCTGGTGCCCGGGAGTGTGCACAGGCCCAGGAAGTTTGCCCCCCCAGCAGCCGCTAACACCTGTCCTCCTTCAACTCCCACAGACAACGGTCCTGTTGGGAAGCGGCGCACAGGCACAGCCACCGTGTTTGTCACTGTCTTGGATGTGAACGACAACCGGCCGATCTTTCTTCAGAGCAGCTATGAGGCCAATGTCCCCGAGAACATCCCTGAAGGCCACAGCATCGTGCAGGCAGGTGGCACATGGCCCCCTGGGGCAGGTGGTGGGCTGGGAGCCGAAAGGGCCACACTCAACTCTGAGGGCACATGCTCAGCAGCATCCTGGCGGCGAGGGACAGAAATAGGAGAGGGTCCTGGGTGGACCTGTTGCTCTGGAAGTAGCCAGTGCTGTGGGGAGAGGGGGACCAGGCCCCCTCCTCCCTGCAGGGGAGAGTGGTCCCCCAGGTTGTGTTAGCTGAGGACAGGGCTCTGGCTACTCAACCAACTAAAGGAAGGCCTTGTCCCCTTCCCCCACAGCCCTCTCTGCATTCCCACCCCACCCAGAAGGGCCTTTGCAGTAGGGAGGAGAGGAGATGTCACATTTTCCAGGAAAGGAGTTGAGGAGAGAGCCAGAGCCCAGCGAGGTCCAGAACAGAGCCGCTTTCACGGGGCCCTTGAGCAAAGCTCCCTCTCAGGTAGTAAACAGGCAGAGAAGAAAGGGCTCCTTTGCCCAGAGAGCAGGAGCAGCAGCTCCAAGGCTCAGAGGGAAAAAGGGGAGGACCCTGCAAAGCTCTGGCGCCCCCCCTCCTCTTGCCCTGGAGGCTTCAGTTGGTGGGTGGGGAGGGAGGCTGGGAATGAATTACCCTCTACTAGCTGCAAGGGTTTCCGACTTGGAGGCTCAGCCAAAGACAGCAAATCCAGGCCTGTCCACTGGGGCAGGCTCCAAGGCTTGTCCCACCTCCCTGCATCGGGACCAGGAGGTGGGCAGGAAAGGGGTTGGAGGGGAGGGAGCTGACTCCCCCGAACTTGCTGAGTCCAAGAAGCCCCCAGGGATCTGCAAGAGTGCGGCGGTGGCAGCTTCCAGAAGGAAGGAAAAGGGTTCTGTCCCTCTGGGCCTCAGCTCCTGGGGACTTGGAGACCTCACACACACAAGCCTGTGGGGCCCCATCCCTGGCCTAATACCTGCCACCCCCAGTTGACTGATGGGTGTCCCAGGGCCAGCAGTCTGCACAGCTGGGGAGTACAGCCATACCTTTGAGAGCCCCTCCCCACCCCAGGCTGTTCTTTCTCCATCAGGCCTTAACCCCCACCCCCAACCTCCAGGAAGAGAGCGCCTAGTGCCAAGCAGGGCCTGCTGAATTCAGACTGAATTCAGCCTGGAGTGACTCAGGGAGGCCAGTGGGGTGGGGGGTGGAGGGAAAGCGAACCAGGAAGAGGTTATGAAGCAGGAAAGGAGGGAGGGAGGAACAAACCCTTGGAGGAGGCCTGCCCCACTTTCTAAACCCCAAACAATTAGTTCCTGTTTACACAGTACTACTCCTGAAATCCTAGAGTCCGAGAGTAATATAGGACAGCCCTGACGGTCCCCATTTCTAAGGGAGAAATTCTTGGAGAAGTCTCAGGGTGACTTCCCCAACGCCCTGTAAGTAAGTTTCTTGCAAGGCTGGACTCTTCTTTGAGGTCAGAATGACCTGGAAGGAAGGTGCAGTGAGCCTCTCCAGCAGGGCTGCAGTGGAGAGAAATCTTTCTGGGGGCATCCAAGAGAAGCAGCTCTGTGCTGTGCATACTCCCAGCAGGACTTCTGTTTTGGGGGACGGGGTCACACCCAGAGTGGGCCGCCCTTCACTTAGTACACAGGCCTCATGCTTCTGTGCCAGGCACTGGTGAGTCAAAGTGAGGGTCGGACAAGTTCTGGCTCTCCCAGCAGGACTTCTGTTTTGGGGGACGGGGTCACACCCAGAGTGGGCCGCCCTTCACTTAGTACACGGGCCTCATGCTTCTGTGCCAGGCACTGGTGAGTCAAAGTGAGGGTCGGACAAGTTCTGGCTCACTGCAAGCCCCCAGGCTTGTGGAAAGGAGGAGACGTGGAGCAGAATGACCCACGCTGTTAAAAGGAGAATGTGCCTTGTCTTGCCCCAGAGAGGGGGAAGACAGTGGGGTGGGGTCCAGGCAGGCGGTTCATCTGGAGGGCAGCGAAGGCTTCACAGGTGGGTACTATGTGAAACATAAGGCATAGTCAGGGGAGACAGGTAGTTCAGTTTGCTGGGAGTTTTGGGCCATGATTAGGCTAGAAAGATAAACTGGAACTAGCTCCCAGTGGGCACTGCACACCGGGCTAAGGAATGTCGACTACATTCAGTTGGCATTAGGGAGAAAGTGAAGGTTCCAGAGCTGGAAAGTGGCAAAACCAGAGCTCACTCCTTGAGGAAATTTGGCCAGCTGCATTAGGGGGTCACAGCAGGGTGGGGTGGGGTGGGGTGGGGCAGCCCCAGGGTGGGGCCCTGGCCAGCTGATGCTCTCGGACAGGAGCTAGGCAGTTCAGGACCCCTCTGCCCACTCTCCATATTTGGGACCTAACAAAAGTGTTTGGCCTCAGCATTGGGAGGAGAGGTTGAGGGTCTGGGATTCTGAGAAGCTCATCCTGGGCTGGGATTGCTTTGACAGGTAGCCAGTCAAGAAAGCAATTGCCAAAAACACAGCTAGCATACCTAGTGTGGTCCAGGCCTTGGTGCCCCCTGAGGGGAGGCCGCCTCCTCCCCTGGGTGAGGCATGGAGCCGCTGTGATGTGTCCTCGTCAGAGCCCAGGGGACATCACCTCTCCAGCTGCTGGCAGTGCCAGCAATAGTCCTCCTGCCTCTGAAAGGAGCCTCTGAACCCACCAGTCCCTTCCTGGTCAATCCCGCCGTGGGTGTACTGAAGGGGAGCCGCCAAGATGGCTGCTAAAGTCGTGGTTCAGTGGAGTGTTGACAGCCCTCTACCTGTCCCACCTCCCAGCTGACTCCTGGGGAGCCCCAGGTTGTACTCCCTGGAGCCTCAGTCCAAGGGCCGAGATGGCTGCGATGTTCATCTCTTGATCCAAGGGTCTTTGAGCAAGCAGCAGCTAGCGGGCCTGCAGAGAGGAAGGTACTCTTCCAGGGACCATCTCTGGAAAAGGACACAGGCCTGGGCACAGAGGGAACTGCTGGCGGTGAGTGTGTGACCCAGGTAGCTGTTGTGCAGCCTGCAGTGCCGGGCTCTGTCTGAGGCAGGAGGATCTGCAGGTGGACCTGGGTGGGGAGACGTGTGTATAGACACCCTGTCACATCTTGGTAGATCCCATGCAGTCACAGTCGCCACAGTTGTCATCATGGCCCGGCAGGGGGTGTTGAGGAACAGCAGGCCGGCCCCGGCGGAAGCTGTGCAGGGAGCGGCGCAGTGAGCCCAGGCGCTTCCAGAGCCGGAGCTGGGGCTCGCTGGGGCTCCCGGGGTGGTGGGGCATGCACTCGCGGGCCCTGTGGCGGCTCGGGTCCAGTGCGGCGGGCTTGCAGAGCGTCAGGAACAGCAGACAGGTGGCCAGCAGAAGGAAGACGCAGGCCAGGGCGATGAGCACAGGGAGGGGGTCGGCTGCCTCCACAGGGGTCCCAGGAGTGACTGGAGCTGTGAGGAAGGCAAGGGGGCTGGTGGCCGGGGCACTGCGGAGTCTGGGGCCCGCTGTACTCATGGCTCCTGCAACAAAAGAGACAGCTCAGGGGAGGGAGGGGAGCTCAGTGATGGGGGCTGGGACTAGGTAGCATCATGGCCATGTTCCAGGTTAGGGCAGTGAGGCCCAGAGAGGTGAGAGGTGACAGTCTAAGGGCAGACACACAGCTGAGAAGTGACGGAGCTGGGCCTGAACTCAGCTCCTCTTTCTGCCACACCCGCTGCCCATCTGCAGAGGACACAAGAGGGTAATGCCTTCCAGCATTTCAAAATCAGCTCTCATGAACCACTATAGAGTCTCAGGCCTGACAACATGGGATCTAGGACCAGCCCACCAATAACTTGCTCTGTGACCAACAGTGGGTCATAGATAAGATGCTGCAACTGGCAGGAGCCCTAGCAATGATCTAATGCCGAGGCTGCAAACTGGGGTCCAGGGGTGTGTTTTGTCTGGTCCTCACAGTGGTTTTATAAATTAAATTGTGAATTTTTTTTTTTTTTAAAGAAGAAATTTCACATAAATATTCGAGTTCCCAGCTTCTCTTGACATTCCTGAATTTCACAGTGGCAACACTGGGCATGTGTTTCCCACCAGGTACCAGTGGCTGGGTTTGAGCAGCAGCTGCCCCCTGGAGAGAGGGCACTGGCCCCAAGTCATTGCACTTTCTCACAGGCCCATCACATACCTTAATTCACCTGCCTGGCCCCATGGGCATTCCTGTTGCTGCTTCTGATGCAGTCCAACCTGCTCCCATGACAGGTAGAGGCCAAACAGGGGAAGGCCAAACCCAAGGCCACAGTGTGAGTCAGTTGCCAAGCAAAGGCCAGAGCCAGGTTTCCTGATCCTGGCCCAGGGCCTGTCCAGCCCACTGGCCCCCAACTCTCTCTGGGCTCTGTGAGCTGCTACAGGAACAGGTGAGAAATAAGCCCACAAGGAGTTACAAGGTGGGGCTGGAAACCTCCCCAGAGACACCATTCACTTGACAGGGCATTTCCGTCATTTCTTAAGATCATCCCGTTAGAGGGAACCCAGCAGATGGTCTTTGTAGATGGGAAATCAGGCTGAGCTTTCAGTTGAATGTGTCTGGGCTTGCACATACAAATACTCATGGAGCCTGGCTGGCAGATAATGCATGACCGAAGAGGACAGGTGGGCAGGGCTACCTGGAGAGCGCTGGCTGGACCATCTCACGGAAGTGGAGGGGCCTCCGGCCAGGCTGATGTGCCGGTGCTGGAACACAGGCCCAGTGTGCTCAGCAATTCTCAGTTCCCAAGAGAAGCCAGAGATCTGGATTTTTTTTTAGGCAAACATTCCTGACACTTAAATGTTGGCAACTAATTCAAATTTGTTTAAGGCAAGAAAGAAAAGAGAGAGAAACACTGCAAAGGCCAAATAAACTTGATTCCAAAAAAATTTGAGATGAATTTTCAAATATTTGAAACCCTACCCAGGCCATCCAAAACACATAAGCAAGCTACATCCAGCTTGTGGGCCAGCATTTGTGATCTTCGAATTCTACTAACACAGGACGGGAAATCCAAAACAGGGCCTCATGAAAAATAATCCTTTCTCTTAGACCTTGGAGTCTTTCATGAGGCTGGGAGTAGCAGATTTTCTTCCTTCCCAGGTTGCGGCCTGGTCTCCCTCACAGCAGGTTTCTAGCACAAAAGCTTGGCAGGAGGAAAGGCCTCCAGTCATGCCAAGGCCCTGCATAGGCTGTAGCGAATCCCCATCAGCAGGTAGTGGGGAGCGGCGCGTGACCACCCAGTCCCCCACACCCCCTGGAGTCCCCATCCCCACCCCAGGCACTCACCAGCAACCACAGGACCTAACTCCTGGCTCCCTGTGCCCAGCGACTGAGAGCATCCAGAGCACCCCACCCCACCTCCCACCTTCCCTGCCACCACCCCTCCCAGATCCCAGCTGGAAAATTTGATACCCGTCTGGCTGCCCAGGGCCTCCGCCTTTCAGACATCAGGCGCAGAGAGCGCTCTGCCGGGCAGCTGAGCATGGGTTGGCCCTTCCCTGAGTCTGAGCAGGAGGGATGGGGAGTGTCCACTGCCCTCTCCCATGGGGAGGAAACCAGCTGTCCCTCTAACCTACCCCAGGTCATGCTCGGCAGGGAGCAAGAAAAGGGCAGTCTGAAATGGGAAAAGATCTGATATTATCTCAGGGCCTTCAAATACATCTGGAGACCCTGTCAGACTAGCAAAGAGGATCCAGGCTTCAGACCTTGGGATCTGCTTTAATAAAGAGGTAGCAGATTATAGTTAGCATCTGAGTAGTTCCTCTGGCAGCAAGAGATTCCGAAGTGCTTGAAAACAACACAACACCCTCCCGGGAGCACAGCACGAGGCAAGTCCAGCCACCAGATTCCCTTGACACCTCTGCTGACAAGGCTGCAAGGGCTGGCTGGTTCTGGGGAAAGGCGGCCTCCACCAGGCCAGGCTAGGAATCATCTGAGGGCAGCTGAAGCCTCTCCCTTTCTGCTGGAGCTCAGGGTACACCGGCAGGCCCTGCTCCGGATGTTCCTCTGCAAGTTCAGTCTAGAACCTTCTTTCTTCCCACAGAGTTCCACAGAACAGGGTCTGCTGAGAGCAGACTGCTGTGTGGCCTCAGGCTAGCCACTGCCCTTACTGGGCGTTGTTTCTACTCTCTGCAGAACCAGAGGGATTGCCAGGTCTGAGCACACCCTTACGTCCTCCCCAGAGTACCCCAGCAAGGTTCTCACCCCCATGTCCCTCACCAAGCCTTCTCCTGCAGACCCCAAACACTGACCTCAGAGCCAGCCCTCAGCAGTCCAAACTCAGCAGAGAGGTCTTCTCAGCTGTCCCAGGGAGGCGCAGTGACCCCAACCCTGCCCTGGGCTCTCCGTGCCCTCACCTCAGTCAGCTGAGCCGGCAGAACAGGCCTGCTCCCTCACTGTCAGCTGGACCTGGCTTTGTCTGGAGGAGTTCTGGCCGAGCCTTCTCCTGCAGACCCCAAACACTGACCTCAGAGCCAGCCCTCAGCAGTCCAAACTCAGCAGAGAGGTCTTCTCAGCTGTCCCAGGGAGGCACAGTGACCCCAACCCTGCCCTGGGCTCTCCGTGCCCTCACCTCAGTCAGCTGAGCCAGCAGAACAGGCCTGCTCCCTCACTGTCAGCTGGACCTGGCTTTGTCTGGAGGAGTTCTGGCCCTGCTGTGGGGGAGGGGACAGCCAAGAGGGTCGGGATGGCAACTGGGCTGGGGAGAGGGAGAAGAGAGCCATCCAGAGGAGCTGGGACGCTCCAGCCTGTCTCCTTGGAGCCCTCTCAGGGGCAGGAGGCCCTAGGGGGTGGTGGGGACAGGGTTTTACCACCTCTTGAGGCACCCCCGTGGCTCTCACCTTCCCCTGTTGGAAGTTTGAATGGTATGGTCGGCAGCAGCCAGCGGGTGGCTATTCAGTGCCTGCCAGCCTCCAGGTTACCAGGGAGAGGGGCGACAAGCCACGTGGCCGTGGGAGGGGGACAGGCAGAGTGATGGGCCCTGCATCCCCAGGCCCCTCCTGCTGCGTCCTGCAGCCTGTCCTTCCAGGTTGCTCCCTCCGCTTCTCAGAAAAGCGCCTTCCCTTTGAAGGTGTCTGGCTGCAGAAAGGAGGAGGAGGGGCATTTTCAAAGGTCAAGGAGATCACAGGACTGAGGGACAGCCAAGGCTGTACTTCTTGTAGTTTGGGTGGGCCATTGAAGACCCTCTGGCAGCAAGTCTCTCCAAACCACACCACACACTCCCCTCCCCCAGCCTCCTTTCTTCCCGGAAGCCAGAGCTTGCCTAGCAACCAGCTGACTGCTCAGGAGCCTGAGTCTTGAGCAGCTTGCCCATCGGGGCCCTCCAGGGTCCCAGAAATACAGCACAGGTCATGGAGTCGTGGCTCTGCCCGAGACCTCAGCCTGGGACTCACTCCATTTTTGGAGCCACAGTTTTTGTTTTTTTGTTCTTCCCTCCTGTCCTGAGCCCTTGACCACAAAAAAAGGCACTGTCTGCCAACCCCAGAATGGATGGCAGCCTTCTCGTAGACTGTCAGAGCTGGAGAGACAGGGGTCATCCAATCCAGCCCCCTTCTCTCTTAGATGATGAAACTGAGTCCAGAAGGGTGTAGACCCCAGCGCAGGGCCCCCCAGAGAGTTAGTTAGTGGCAGGCAGAGGATTTGGCCCCTTCCCCTGAATGGAGTGGATGGGCACGGGCTGCAGGGCATCTGGTGCTATGTATGGGCAGCATTGGCCAAAAGGAGTTCCCACACCCAGAGCCCCAGTTGGGATCCCGCATCTCACCTCATGGCCTTCGCTGCCCTCATTTTCCTTAACCCACTCTTCCTGAACTGACTGGACACTTCATCAGTCGCCCCCATTCTCCTGAGATAGCAGGAGGCAGAAGTTTCAGGTGGTGCAGGCTGCTGGGGGAGGGAGGTATCAAGGAAATGTCACATGGCTAGACACTCAGGGTGTCCTCAGGACAGCTTGGCCTTCCGACTGGACACTTCATCAGTCGCCCCCATTCTCCTGAGATGGCAGGAGGCAGAAGTTTCAGGTGGTGCAGGCTGCTGGGGGAGGAAGGTATCAAGGAAATGTCACATGGCTAGACACTCAGGGTGTCCTCAGGACAGCTTGGCCTTCTCCCCTCTCCTGGTCCCTTTCATATCTGGACTGTTGAAGCACCCCTCCACATCCCTCCACCTCCCTGCTGTTAAGACTTTTCAGGGAAGGAGGAGAGAGAAAACTCCACAGCAAGAGGCAAGCCAGCCATCCCCAACTGGTATAAATCAAGAGGGCCTGCCTGGAGAAGGCGACATACACACGTCAACCTTCACCACCTATCCCTGCCCCAGGCACCAGACAACATGCTTTGTGGGATTACTGCTAATCTTCCCATCAGCCCTGCAAGGTTGGCTATCATTGTGATCAGTCTACGGATGAGGAAACTGAGGTCCAGACTTACTCATGGTCACATAGCCAGTAAGTGGCAAACACACTTCGGTGTGCCTGACCCAGAGCCCTTGTTTCTTTTACTCCAACATACTTCCCCTCCTCCCCACCATTAATATGCTTTTCAAAATGCCTCAGTTCCTGGATATCCTTTGAGTCTGACCAGGCCGATGTGCTGCCAGGTTCATCGTTCTCATACCAGCTTCCATCCTGTCATTTCTGGGCTCCACCTTCTGCTGAGGCTCCTGCTGCCCTGATGCTATTCATTGAGACCCTTGTTGCACTCCTTCAACCAGCTCCCCCTGCTGTGTCCCAGCATGAACCCTTCACTCCAGACACACTGGGGTCCCAGGCCCTTGCTCAGCCCTGTATTTGCCCACATTGTTTCCCAGCCCGAATATTCCTCCGGACCCTCTCTGCTAAGCCAGGTCCTCCTCATCCCACCAAACCCAGCTCTTTCCTCTGGAAGCCTCTGGCCAATCCCACCCTCTATGGCCTCTACTTTCTTGACCTTTGTAAGCAGAAGCCTATTCCCCTCTTCTCTGGAAGTTTGTCCAATGAGCAAAGATAGGAAAGCCTGTAGTAGGGCTTCCGGTGGTGTATTAGTCTGTCGCTGTTGCTTATGACAAAATACTTAGAACTGGGTACTTTGTAAGAAAATGAAACTTATTGCTTACAGTTTTGGAGGCTGGGAAGTCCAAAGTCCAGGGAACATATCTGGCGAAGGCCTTATTGGTGGTGACAGTGACACAGGTGTCTCACATGGCAGAAATGGTGGAGCAGAGAGAGACAGACTCTCACAGAATTCCTTTTAAAGCCCTGAGAACCACGCCCATGACCACCATTATTAATCCGTTCATTAGGGCATGGTCCTCGCAATCTGATCACCTCTTCCAGGCCCCACCTTTCAATTTCTCACACTCAACAGTTACAGTGGGGATTAAGCTTCAGTGACTTTGGGGGGCCATGCAGTCCACTACAGGGAGCAAGAAACCAAAATCTGATTTAAATTCCCTTAGGCAAAAGGAGAAGTGCGCTAGAGCAATACTGGCATGCCCCACAGAGTCAAAGGAAAAGTCAAACGAAAGAGAGATGCAGCTGGGCTTCTGGAATAACTGGGACCCCAGTGCACTCTGTGGTGTGTACCTTTCCTCCATGCTTGCTGGATGTCAGCTTGATAACTCTCACTGGAGATCTGCTACTAAGCATTCACAGACTCGTCCAACAAACAGTTGACCCTACTGTGTGCCAGGGTCATTGTTCTGCAAACTAGGGATATAGCAGCACACGAAGCCCCTTTTTTCAGTGGGGATATAGGCAATAAGCAAAGATACAGTGTATCAGAGGGTAATGGGGGGTAGGGAAGGCCAGGGCACTGGAGTGGAGGCTACGATTTCATACATCAGAAAGGGCCTTATAAGATGACATTTGAGCAAAGACCTGAAGAAGGTGGAGTGAGCCTGTAAATATCTGGAGGGAGAGCTTGCCAAGTGAGGAAACAGCAAGGGCGAAAGCCCTGAGGCCAGCATGCACGGGGTGGTTAAGAAACATCAAGGAGACCAACGTGGCGAGGGCAGAGGCAGTGAGGAAAGAGTGGTGCAAGATGATCTGGGAGAGGCCAGAGGGTGGGTGGGAAAGAGGGGCACGCTGTTGATAGCCCCACATCCTTCTACTAGAAAGACTGGCTCACTCTCTTGTTGGGCCCAAGGTCAAAAATCCCAGAGAAGGATGTGATTGGTTCAGCTTTGACCAGGCACCTACTTATGGACCAATCACCTCTGGCCATAGTGGCGGGGTTCACTATGAACATGGCAGATCCAGTGTACACCATAGGGATAAAGTGAGAGGTGGAGGGAAAAGGAGGGACAGATCCAGAAGAAGTGGGAGGGTCTAAGGGCTTCACAAAGCAATTCACCAAAAACATACAGGACAACATATGGTGGTCCTGTGTGAGTCTTCCCAGCCACACAGCCTCAGGCCTCTTTCCCTACCTCCTTGCAGAGATGTCCTCTACTTGCTTAAGGTGTGCAGTGGGTGGAGTAGGTGTTCAGTTCCTGGCTTGACAAGACTTGCCTTGGGGCTAGCTGCAGTTCTGACAACAGCCTCCAGGCTGGGCTCTTGGTAGAAAGGGCTGAGCCTCAGGCAGTGTTTTAGGGTGAGGACAACATACCCCCAAGTCTCACCAGAGACAATCCGCAAGCTGAGGCACAGCCCAGCAGCCCAGAATGATCTGAAACTAGACTGGAGTGATCCTGTGCATGAATGAACATGGAGCCACGATTTGGGAGGAGGGATCTCTGGGTTTCCACAAAGGGACCAATGTATACAGTGCCTGCCTGGGACCCAGTGTGGCCAGAATGGCTTCAGGCCAAGGAAATGTGATGAGAAGCAGCCATGTAATCCAGCCCTCCAGGTGAGGCTCCTGGGATCTCGAGGCTGGCGAGGGAAGTGTGGAGGGATAGGACCACCTACCTGAGCCTGGATCCAGAGAGCCACAGTGCCACCCTCCACCCTCTCCCCAAGAACTGGTGGGGGATCAGGGAGCAGAGCTGGCCCCAGACAGGACAGCATGGAGCCATCGACTGTTAGATGTCCTCGTGGGGGATGAAAAAGATGCACATGTCCACCTCACCTCCCACACCCACAGCCTCTGTGGGAAACCACAGGTTTCAGCAGGACAAAGTTGGGGGGGGGGTGTGGAGGAAAGGAAAGGGGCTCCATAAACATCTCCCCCTGCCAGTGGAATTCCAAGAGTAACCCCCATGTCTCCTTCCTCAGCTGAAAGCCACAGATGCAGATGAGGGCGAGTTTGGGCGTGTGTGGTACCGCATCCTCCATGGTGAGTAGGGCTGTCCTAGGACGGGGCTTGGGGGACCTCCTGCCTTCGGGACGGCAGAGCTTCTCTAGGCTGCCAAGGGTTCGGGAGCGGGAGGGTGAGGCTAATGAAGCCCCGTGTGCTGTATACGCGGGGAGGGGCCGAAGGGAGGAAACGGGGGGTTCTCCAACTACTTGCACCCTGTCGGATGTGTTTTAAGTGAGAATGCTGCATTTGATTGCTGTGCTCCCGATGTTCTCACGTCCCACAGTGCTTCCCAAAGCCGTCACCCTCACAGAGGGGGCCTTGGAGACCAGGCAGCCCCCAGCAGTGAGCTCCTCAGGGATCGAGTCTACTGGCCCAACTAGAATCAGGGCCCCATCCTTGATCCCATTACTATGGCCAGGGAATAAAATGGGCTGACCTGCCCACTTCTGGAATCAGGGGTAAAGTCAGCCCACACAGACTACACGGACTGAGAGTAGAGGAGGGTGGATCCTCAAAGGAAAATCAGGGTGCTGTTACTGTAGGATGGGGAATGGGTGCTGGACCAGTCCAGAGATGTCCACTAAACACAGAAAATTTGGTTTGGGTCCCTCATTTTGTAGGGCCCCAGATCCTTCTGAAATATTAAAAAGGCTTCACTCCACCCACTCTTGTGGGTGTGGGGGTCTAGGGAGATCCCCAGGCTTCCCACAAGGAGTAGACAGGTGAACTTCTGGCCCCTTCTCCCAACCATGCCAGGCCAGGGCAGCATGGGGCACAGGCCTCCTTGTCACTGTGGGCTTCAGCCAAGTTCCCAAGACCTCTGGGCAGGTCAACATTCCAGGGAGCCTGGACCCCTCTTCTCTCCCATCTCACAAGCATCCTGCTCCTGAGCAGAACCCTTGTACCTCATCTATCCCTCCACACAGGTAACCATGGCAACAATTTCCGGATCCATGTCAGCAACGGTCTCCTGATGCGAGGACCCCGGCCCCTGGATCGGGAGCGGAACTCATCCCATGTGCTGATAGTGGAGGCCTACAACCATGACCTGGGCCCCATGAGGAGCTCCGTCAGGGTGAGGCCAGGGGCGGGCTGGGGTGCTGACCTCAGGGCTAGACCAGGCATGGCCACCAGTTGGGACCTGGTCGGGGCAAGGCCACCACTGGTTTAGGTGCAGAATGCCATCTGGGGCTGGGGTTTTGGTGAGGGCTGCCTCGGTCTCAGCCCAGCCTGGAAGCTCGGACTTGTCATTGTGCTCTGAGCTTCAGTTTCTCCAGCCATGGAAGGGGGTCAGAGATACTGACGTCTGTCCTAAGGGATGAAAGAGGTGTCCCTACCATACTAGCCCCTGTCCCCACACAGCTGTCTGGGATGAGCCAAGGAAATCAACATAGATGATCTTGGAGGTATACATGCCAACCTCATTTTACAGATGAGGAAACAGAGGCACAGAGAAGTCACTAGTGATAGAATGAGGACTTGAGCCCATGTCTTCTGAGTCCAAGTTCAGTGCTATTTCCATTGAAAATGTCCCTAAAACTTTCCTGTCACCACTCCCAGCTGCCCCATCAAATGTGTTCTTTTTTGCCCATCCTCCCCTGTGCAGGTGAAATCAAATCAGCCTTCATCTTTCTGAATTGTCAGAAACATACACACAGATATTCCCACTGGCGGAGCTGGTTTGTGACACTCCTGCCTGGCAGCAGGGGGTGATAACTGAGGTGAATGAGATAAGAATGAGATGACCTCTCAAGGCCACCCCCCACCCCCACTGCACACTCAGCAACTCACAACCCCTTCCCCTAAACTGGTGGAAGTGAGTCAGGCCTCAGACGTCACTCACGAGTAGGAGGGAGATGGGAAAATTCAGGCGGAGAGCAAGCAGGGACTTTTACCCAGAGCTGAGTGAGGCAGAAGCAGCTGCTCTTATCAGCCCCATCTCCACCCTCTGCTTCCCCAGCTGGAAACAATGAGCAGAAGCCTACCTGGCCGTCACCATTGCGCAGGGGGTATGCCGGGTGGGTGACTCAGCCCTGGCCCCGCTCCTGCTGACGCCCCAGCAGCTTGGCCCCAGGGAGAGATGGAAGGAGAAACCTGGTCCCAGCAGCGACCCCTCCCAGTAAGATCTGCCCAGGGGAGATGGGGTCAGATCTCCAGGATGTTTACAGGGCCCTGGTGACTGAGGGTCTGACACTGTTACCTGGACATGCACCAGGGCGATCCTGCCCAGCCACGTTCACCTGCATGACTGTGAGTCGTGCTCACAGGCTGATCAATACACCCATATTGGAGCCTGTCTTCTGTGGGGCCCACTTCAGGCCACAGAGTGACTGATGTTAGTGATGCTTGGGCCTGAACTGAGGCTTTCTAACCACAGCTCTCCTTGTGGCCCCTCACTCCCCACCCTCCTGGGAGCAGGTGGGCACCTGTCTCCAGGCCCTGCTCCTGTCAGTGCCTTGGCATTGTGGCTGCAAACCTTCTTCAGCACAACCTTCTGTTTAAACCAAATGGTCTGCAGCATCCCGGGGTACTGTGTGAAAGAGATCAAAGCCAGGCCATGCAGGGTGGGGGAGGGGGGACTAAGCCACACCTGCTGGACTTCCCCTGTCCTCCTCCTCTCCCCATGAACCCTGAGGAATAATAAACCCTCACGTAGTACTTTGTCCAGCATTTTTCTAAATGCTTCACATACTTTAACTCATTTAACCTTCATAACAGCCCTATCAGGTAGGCACAATTATTACACCCATTTTATAGATGAGGAGATTGAGGCAAAGAGGAGTTAGCCAACTTGTTTAGGGTCACACAGCAGTAAGGGTAGAGCCAGGCTTCACACCCGGGCAGTCAGGTTTGTTGTCCTAACCACGACACTGCACTGCCTCACATAAGGCTCTTCAGAGCAGTCAGAAACCACTGCCTCATCCCCAAGGGGTAAGTTTAAGGTGAGAATTTGGGGGCTGGCCCCTGGGGCGGAGACTTGATGGCCCTTATAGTACACAGCGTGTATACCCCTGAGACCTAGGAAAGCCAGGGGCCTTCCTGAAGACCTAGCCTGTGGGGCTCCAGCCTTGCCCTGCATTCATTATCCCAACGGCAGTAGAAATGGCTTTCAGGGACCATCGTGTTCTCTAGTTCCTGCTTCAGAGACCAGGGACAGCCCAGACGTAGGGCCAGGGAACATGGAGTGCGATGGTCCTCATGGAGACTGGGTGCCTCAGGTTGCATGCAGCACATACATGCACGCATGCACGTGCATACCTCCTCTGCTGTACCCGTTGGAAGGCACCGCACTGGACAGAAAGCGGGTCTCATTCTCTGGGGAGACCAGTAGCTCCCTCTTGCTGAGCAAGAACTTGGCAGACCTCTGTTTCCTGTACATCTGTGTCTTTCAGCTTTGCAAACCACATACCATCTTGTCTCCTGTCTCTGCTGCTAAAAACAAGGTTGAAACCAAGAAGAGGATGGTATGTAGTCAGACTCATGGAGAACAGACTACACCCAAGCTCTCTGCCGCCACCCTCTCTTTTTATTGTACTGTCAGACTGGCCCTCTTTTTCCCAACGACCCTTAGAGTCAAGGTCGTTTGGACAACCAGACTCAAGAACGTGAAGGCTCCCAGTTTTGAAAGATGAGTGGCTAGTTTCTGTTTACAGAAAGAGAGTTCTCGAAATTTATCCATGCAAATTCCCCCCCACGCTCACCCCACCTAGGATCTCCGTAGTCAAGTTTTGGGTGAAGCCAAATTTAGAAGGTTCTAGCCTGTGAGCAGCTGTGCTCTAGGGTGAACACTTTAGTTTACATAGTGGCTTCTGGGTGTCTGGACATGAAATTCTGATGACACAGCAGGACTGAGGAAACCCCAAGAGCAGAGCAGTGGAGAAACTTCCATGTACCTCTCCTCCCCCAGCTCTGCCACCCCACTCACTCTGAAGCCCGCTACTGGTCAGGCCACTGTTCTCTGCTATACCAACTGGAAGCCCTTTTGTTTCTCTTCAGCTAATTCCCAGCTAAACCCTGAAGAGACTCCGGGTCTGATCTCAGAGGCAGTGATCACTCAGAAGCCAGATATACATGCCCTGAGGTTGTCTGTGCCTCAGGCCCCCCATTAGTGCTGGTGACCACATGTGAAATCTGTACCAAGTGTCATTGTCCCTTATCCACTCACTCCCCTCTCCACTCTGCCACAAGCTCCTGCTGGCCCTAGCCCTGCGAGGCTGGGAGGAGGGTGCTTCTGCTGTCCTGGCCCCAGCTCATCCCTAGAATAGAACAAAGCCATAGGGTTGGGAGGAGAAAGCCCCCTCCTCTTTCCAGCCCTCTCAGTCACTGTGAGGCCTTGGACAAGCCACTTCCCCTCTCTGGGCCTCTGTTCCCCTATCTGTGAAAAGAAGCAGGGGCCCTTGGCCTCCCTATGGCTCCTTGAGCACCCACACTCTGTGGCTATAACTCTGTGACATCCGCCCCTCCATGCTGGTCTTTCTGGACAGCCTTGTCTGTACCTGCCCCAAACCCTCGCAGTGCTCCTAAGTGTGTGCGGGGAGAGGGGTTGTTGATCTCTACCCATGAACACAGCTCTCCATAAATATCTGTTAAACTGTTATGCATGACAAATGTGTTCATTGAAGAGAACTTAGAAAGTACAGATGAGCAATGAGGAAAATTATGTATCATTGCACAATTCAGAAAGTCACCATTGTGGGTGGGGTCCCCAGGAGGAAACCCTGAGATGAGGATTGGTGGAAAAGTAATTAAAGGGGCGTGGGACCTGGAAGGAAAAACAGCCAGCAAAGTGGAGCAGAGGGAACCGTGCCTGAGTCCCACAGGGAACTCTAGAGAGGGTCACCTCACCGCCCCTAAAGGGCCAAGGAAGCTGGAGGATTTGTGCTCCACGCCCATCAGTCACTGGCTAAGGGCTGCCCCAGGGGACATCAATTCCCAGGCGCTTCTGCTCTCTGGGTGTTGGGTGTGGTGGGGTGGAGATAGTCCTTAAAAAGCCACAGGTAGGTGCTTGCCGCTGGCTGAGAGAAGGTACATGAGAACCACGAGGGGTCTGAGCATGACATTCTCCGCTACAGCTGCCATACCTTCTGATATCTGCTCTCCTAGATATATTTTGATATGGGGTCCATTGGAACCTTTCCACACAGTTTTGTGGGCCCTGGCTCATGTGGCCTTAGGAGTGACATGGGGTAATCAATATTACTCTTTCATAGCTGAGAAACTTGATGGTCCAAAAGAGTCACTAATTAGTTGCAGGTTCCCACAGGGTTAGTAACAGAGCAAAGAGTAAGATAAGGTTCATTCCTAAACCAATAATGTTTGAGCACCTGTCACTGCCATGTGCTACGTACTATGCAAGGTGGGAGCACACAGTGACCAACAAGACAGCCCCAGGCCCTCCAGAGGGGACTCCCCGCTGGCCCAAGGTAGCAGTGCCCAACACAAGCAGGCTAGATGGGGCCAAGCCCTGGGCTTCCAGTCTCCACCCACCTGACCTTGCACCCTGGCTGTTCCTACAGGTGATAGTGTACGTGGAGGACGTGAACGACGAGGCCCCTGTGTTCACGCAGCAGCAGTACAGCCGCCTGGGACTTCGCGAGACCGCAGGCATCGGCACTTCGGTCATCGTTGTCCGAGCCACAGACCGAGACACTGGTGAGGCCGGCAGGGGAGGCCAGAGTGACCCTCCCAGCTCACCCAGCCCATTCCTGTGGTGGGGGGTGGGCACCGTCCTCGGACGCCGCAGGCTCCTCCACCCCGCCACACTGGCGCCTGGGATGGCCTTGATCACTCCCCACCACATGTCCAGGCCTGAGAGGATTGGAGTAGTGGAAGTTGTCCCAGTCCCTGGGGGGACAGAGGAGAGGTTGCAAGCTTGGGAAGTCCAGATGTGTCATCCCGGGACCCAGCCTGCTCCTCCACCCAGCTGTGGCTCTGTGCCCTGCGGGCCCAGCTCAAGGCCTGACACACACAGGCCTCCCAAAGGGCACTGCCTTCCTCTTCTACAAGGCTGTCCTGAAGGCAGCCTGAACCTCACAGAAGGCCCCGAGCCACAGAGGTGACCACAGCCACCAGTGCAAAACAAAGGAGAAACATGCGCAGGTCACTGTGGCCCTCCTCGTGGGGCCTGTGCCCCAGCCAGGGAGACAGCCAGAGACGCGCTCTTCCCAGGGATCCACTGTCCCCCAGAGAGGCTCGTGAGCTGCTGCTCCCAAGCCCCTCCTCTCAGCATTCCCAGCTCACCTGCAGCACAGGGCAGGATGGCAGGAGAAACATGTCTGCAAATCCTTTATACAGTTCATTTATATAGTTCAGGTCACATACAATGCTGTGGTCCAATAGTTGCTGACCTTTCCCAGGTTAGGAATCCTTTTGAGAAATTGGAGAAAGCTATGGATCCTCTCCCCAGAAAAATGCACATTGAACTCAGAGTTTTATAAGTAATTCCAAGGAAGTCTTGCATTTCCTGAGTGGTTTTATGACCATTCCCTTTCCCACCCTCCCCTCCAGGTCTGTGGACTTCACTAAGGAATGCAGCTCTAGCTCCTGGTTAAATGGTGTATTCCAAGGCATGGGGATTGGGGATATAGGGACTGGGGAGAATGGGGGAAGGTGTCGCTGGCACTGCAACCCTTCCATCAGAGGGACCCAGTGAATGCCTGTACACCTCTGAGGATGCGGCTCCATCAACACTTTCTAGAGTGAAGCCCCCACTACAAGAAATCCTTAATTTCCCCATCTTCTGTCCAAATACCCAAAGGAGGTGCTTGAGCTGGAATGTTGAGGCTCCAGGAGTAGAACCAGCCTCTCTGGCATATCTCTGGAGCCAAGGCCAAGCTCTAGAGAGGGCCATCCACAGTGACCTTGATCCCAACCTCTTCCATATCTCTTGGCATGATCCAGCCCACAGAGGTGGGGGCAGCGCATGCTGGGTGGGCCAGTCATGGCCCCTCGCCTTGTCCCTCAGTGACAGCACCAGGCGTGGGTATGGGAAGCTCCAGAAGCCACAGGGAAGCCCACCCCAGTCTGGGACTGCACAGCCTCCGTGTCCTCCTGCAGGAGATGGTGGCCTGGTGAACTACCGCATCGTGTCGGGCGCAGAGGGGAAGTTCGAGATTGATGAGAGCACAGGCCTGGTCATCACTGTGGATTACCTAGACTACGAGACCAAGACCAGCTACCTGATGAACGTTTCCGCCACTGACCAGGCCCCTCCCTTCAACCAGGGCTTCTGCAGCGTCTATGTCACTCTGCTCAATGAGCTGGACGAGGCCGTGCAGTTCTCCAACGCCTCCTATGAGGCTGCCATCTTGGAGAACCTGGCACTGGGCACCGAGATTGTGCGGGTCCAGGCCTACTCCATTGACAACATCAACCAGATCACCTACCGCTTCGACGCCTACACCAGTGCCCAGGCCAAAGCCCTCTTCAAGATCGATGCCATCACGGTGAGGGGGGCTGCAGGCAGGCACAGCAAGGACTCTCCCTGGGGGCAGGGGGTGCCATGCCTTTACATCTAACCAGCATTTATTGAGTTCCTTCTGTATGCCCAGCACTCTCCTCTTTGCCATAAGCGTCCTTGGGATAAACATCCTGGTAATACATTCCCTTTTCATATGTAGGGGTGAGATAAAGCGTATACCTAGGCAAGCTGGTGTACTTCTTGTTACTAGACAATGAAAGTGTGTAATAGGAAAAACCAGCTGTTTTTCCTTCTGTATTCACACTCACCACAGAATGCTTCACCTCTAGTCTTCAAAATGGGTGTGGGCTTTTCTCCCATACCAACAGCCAATTCTCTGATTCTCTGGGCACCAGCTGGGGATGTTATAATTCAACTCAATTTGGAGCATTTCTACCTGGAGTTAAGAGTCAGATGCCACAGGTTAAGAGCTCAGTCCCTCCCACACACCAAGCAATTCTCCAGCGGACACCAATTGGGTGTCCTACAGTTTAACTCAATCCTGACACTGTCTACCTGGAGTGAGTCAGATCCTACAGCTTAAGAGCTCAGTCCCATGAGGCTGCCCCTGCTTCAGATGCTAGTTGCAAGCCCCAGGTGGTTTCGCCTTGTGCCTCTGACCAACCGGCTATGGGGAGGTGGGGTGGGGGAGAGCCCATGACCCCCTCCGCAGGTTCAATTAATTTGCAAGAGTGGCTCACAGAACTCAGGGAAACACTTTACTTACTACTGCCAATTTATTACAAAGGATATTTCAGTATTATTTTTATTTTGGCGGCTGGCCAGTACAGGGAACCGAACCCATGAATTTGGTGTTATAAGGTTGAGCTCTAACCAACTGAGCAAACCGGCCAGCCCCCTACAAAAGATATTTTAAAAGATACAAACAAACAGCCCAATGAAGAGATACAAAGGACAAGGTACGGGGGAAGGGGTGCAGCGCTTCTGTGCCCATTCCGAGTGCGCCATCCTTCAGGCACTGCCACGTGTTCAGCAATCCAGAACCTCTCCAAACCCTATAGTTCAAATGAAGAGATACAAAGGACAAGGTACGGGGGAAGGGGTGCAGCGCTTCTGTGCCCATTCCGAGTGTGCCATCCTTCAGGCACTGCCACGTGTTCAGCAATCCAGAACCTCTCCAAACCCTATAGTTCACATATTTTTATGGAGGCTTCATCACATAGGCATGATCAATTTCTAACTCAGTCTCTAGCCCCTCTCCCCTTCCTGGAGGATGGGGAGGTGGGGCTGAAGTTCCAAGCTTTTAATCATAGCTTGGTCTCTCTGGTGACTAGTCCCCATCCAGGAGCCCACCAAGAGCTGTCTCATTAGAACAAAAGACACTCCTATAACCCAGGACATTCCAAGGGCTTAGAAACTCTGTCAGGAACAGAAATCAAAGACCAAGTATTAGAACAAAAGATTCTCGTAGCACCCCTATTATTCAGGAAATTACAAGAGTTTTAGGAGCTCTGTGCCAGATACTGGGGAGAGAAACCAAAAACATATTTCTTATTATGTCACAATAACATGGAAAGCTATGCAAGTCATCATATGTCCCTTTTGACCTTGGCTGTAAGGAAGCTCAGCTGTAAACGTGCTTCGTGGCAATAGCTGCTCGTAGCTGGGTGTCTGGAGCAGCTACCTCTCACCTAGCACCTGACTCTCACTCCTCGGTCTTTGCTTTAGTGTGCCTTTTAACAGACTCCCACCTTTGAAAACAGGCAAGATATGAATCACTACAAGTGCGCCAAGCCTTGTCCTGGGGGATGTTGGGAACACAAAAATGATCAAGACCCTTCCTGGCCCTCACAGAGTCCTCAGGCTGGGAGTGGAAGTGGGAATAATCAAGGACGCAGATGAGAGCACCCCAGGAAAGATACGAAAGGAACTGCAGCAGAGGTTTAATGGAGCACTTCTGGGGCCCAAATAAGAGACCGATCATACCTGACTGGGGAGGCAGGAAACTTTCACAGAAGAGGTGTCGTTTAAGTGGGATTTGAAAGAGAAGTAGGATTTCAACTGACAGAGCTTCATGGGGAAGTTATGCCAGGCAGAGGGGGTGACATGGAGGAGGGAAAGTGGCAGAGTCTGGTTTGGCTGGAGCATGGGACCGTGGGCAAGGGAGGGTTAGGACGGGATCTGCCTGGTGAGTGCGATGTTGTCCCTTGACCTTCTGGCCCCATCTCTGCAGGGTGTGATCACAGTCAAGGGCCTGGTGGACCGGGAGAAGGGTGACTTCTACACTTTGACAGTGGTGGCAGATGACGGCGGCCCCAAGGTGGACTCCACTGTGGTGAGTGGGTCCCTGGGTGAAAGCCCCACAGGCACAGCCATCCCCATCCACGACACTTCCAAACCCACATCTCCACCAGCCACCCAGCACACAGGCCAGGCAGCGGGCACAGGTCTTGACAACCCAGGGACCACACTGTTGCCGGCTGTGCCACATGTTCCCTTGCAGCCTGGGCCAGGGATGAGACCTCAGACAGGCGGGAGGCTGGAGCGGGGTCTGGAAGAGCCACACACTACTAACCATTGCTTCCTGCCTTTTCTCTCCTCGCACTCCGCCTGCCAACACTGCCTACAGAAGGTGAGTGGCCTGTGGACAGGGGCTCCCCTGTGCTGCTGGCTGTGGCCAATGCTGGCTCAGCCTTGTGAGGCTTTGGACCTTCCCACCTCTCCCAGAGAGAGGGCACCTGGACAGAGCCCGCAGCTCCCCTGCTCAGACCCTTCATAACCTCCTCAGTCCATCCATTCTTGCACCTGACTCCAGGCCCCTCTCAGACATGTCCCCTGCCTCCAGCTCTGCCCTTCATGTCTGCTAAGTCCCCAAGGGGTCCTGGGGTGGGGGTGCACTAACAAAGGAGTAGCTGGAGCACCCATTGGAAGGGCTACTGAGGCCTTGTCCCAGCTCTGCTCCTTACTGGCTGTGTGACATGTGACACAGGCAAGGTGCTTAAGCTCTCTGTGCTTCCCATCCTCTGGTATAAATGAGGAGCAGCCCAGACTTCCTGAGAGATGGGATGAAAGTAGTGGGAGGTCACAGGTAGGAGAGCTTTGTAAACTAGTGCTGGAGTGAGTGTGCATGACAGCCGTGGCATTCTGTCCCGACGCCTCAGCTGCCACAGCTGTGAAGGGACCCCCTCCCTTGGGGGCTGGTATGAGGAGCCTGCTGTACTGACGCGCATGTGAAGTGACGTGCACAGGGCCGGGCTCTGGAGATTGCTCAGCAAGGGCTCAGCAGGGTGAGCCTCTGCCTTCAGGACGGCCTCTAAGTAAAGGCAGGGAGACCACATGTTGGGATATTTGGGAGAGGGTGGCCTGCTGTGGTCAGAGACGTCAGACAAGGTTCCTGGGAGCGGAGGCCCAACCTGAAGAGAGAGGCAGGCAGGGGAGCTCAGCTGGGGGCTGAGATCGGGCAGGCCCAGGGGAGGCCACCTGAGAGGGGTCCACTGGGACGGCATGCTGCGCTGGTCATCAGAACACTTGCAATCAGTTTGGCCTGGGCACTGGCCAGTCAGCTTGGACACTCTCTGAAGACCACCTGGAGTGTCTAGCACATCAGCAGCCTTGGTTACAGCCACGTTGCCACTCCTCGCCAAGTCCCTTTCACATGAGCCTAAGGGAGAGAAGCCAACCCAGTGTCCAGGCTAAAAGCCAAACACAGTTGATTGGAATCCTTGGCCCCACGACTCCCCAGAGATGCCCGGCTCCACTGGCACTAGTTGTGGCTTGACCATACCCAAAGGTCCTCTCCATCCATGGGGCCAGCCCAGGGGCAAGTGAGGCTAGAAGCAGCAGTGAACCCACACAGCTCCACTCAGCCCTCCAGGGGTCGCAGAGGGTGGCTGGTGAGCAGGGCTCTCAGCACTGATGGTGGGCGGGTGCCCTGTGTCCTGCAGTTCCCAGCCAGAAGGTCTGAGACTTAGAGAGACTAAGTGGGGCCGTCTTACTGAGCCTCAGCATCTGTATCCATAAAATGGGATCAGTTGCCCCTCACCCTCAGGTGTCATGAGGAGTCTTGGAGTTGAGGCCAGAGGGAGACTGACAGGTGGCAGGAATGGCAGGGTGCCACCTGAGGCTGCTGACGCCCTTGCATGGACTAGGCAGCCACTTCCTCTGTGTGACTGGCATGGGCACTTTAGAGCACATGCTCCTGTTCGGGGAGACTGACAGGTGGCAGGAATGGCAGGGTGCCACCTGAGGCTGCTGACGCCCTTGCATTGACTAGGCAGCCACTTCCTCTGTGTGACTGGCATGGGCACTTTAGAGCACATGCTCCTGTTCAGGCCCTTGTATTTCCATGGTCGCTTCACCCTTTTCCAGGAAACAGGGCCCACCCCACCCCTTGCTATGCCCTGGCTTCCTCTCAGAGGCTCCCAGAGGCCACTGCCCCAGATACGTCAGCCCTGTTAGCCCCAAACACTGTTTGAGGTGCTAGGGTGGAGGCAGGGGGAGGGGCCCTGTAAAGATGGCACTATTTCCTCTCTGAGATGGAATCCAAACCACAGCTCACCTCTACCTGACTCCTCCCTGTCCCCAGCAGCCCCTGCAGGCCCCAGGAGGGTGGGGAGGCAGACAGGAAGGGGGCAGGCTTAGGAGGGGTTGTTGGCTCTGCTGTGAGAGCTCTGAGTAGCACCCTCAGGCCTTTGGGGGGTGGGGAGGGGAAGTGTGGACCATGAGGACCTGGGTGAGGACACAAACCCCTATCAATTCCCACAGAGCAGGGCACCTGTCCTCCTTCCTTGCCCACAGAGGCTGACTCCCTTCTACTGGGGGGTCCAGTGGCCACTCACCCCTACTTTGCTATCATCATCATGATCATAGTAGCAGGCATGGCAGGAGCACCTGCTGTGTGCCAGGCACTAGGCTGGGCTCAGGGTACAGACTGAACCCAAAATCCGACACAGTCTCTGCCCTCACAAGCATAAAATATAATGAGGGGAAGGCATTGATCAGATTATCACAGGAATAAACGTATGCGCCAAGAGAGCCTACAATAAGATGTCCGGGAAATCAAGGAGGGCTTCTGTGTGGAGGTGACCCCAGCTGAGCTCCGCAGAATGCACAGGAGTTAAGCAGCCAAGAAGGCAGAGCGTTTGAGGCGGGGGACGGCATGTGCAGAGGCCCACTGGTGGGAGGAAGCGGGCGAGTGGGGGAGTCTGGGAGGCGTCAGATCGCGCGGGCCTTGTTCAGTTTGCCCGGACGGCAGTGGGGTAAGCACTGTTTTTCCCGTTTCACACAGGTCAGCAGACTAGGGCTCAGGGACTTTAGGGAACTCCCTGACCAAAGCTTATAACAGACGCAGTCTTGGCTGGCAAGACCATGAATGTCTGCCAGGCAGGAAAAGGGGACAGGGGCGTACCACACTGAACTTTTCGTTTGCTCATATATCCCCCAGCATCCCAGTGCAGTTCTCATTCCGATTTTCAACTGAGGAAGTGGAAAACCAGAGAGGTTGGATAACTTTTTCCAAAATCACACAGCTAGTAAGTGGTGGAGTTGGTCACTGCAAAGCCTGGGCTTTTTCCCCTGCGGTTCTCACAGCCGCCTAAAGACATGGGAGCGTGGCTGGAACCGAGAAGAAGTGAAACCTGGTTAGGAAGGAGGATGAAATGGAAATTCCTCTGCAGTGTGGAGAGAGGCTCAGCAGCCTCCCCATGGTTCCTGTGCAAACTGGGAGGCAGGCAGGCCCGAGAGCCCCTGAACCCGGGGCCCGGGGAAGCGCACAGCTAGTAAGTGGTGGAGTTGGTCACTGCAAAGCCTGGGCTTTTTCCCCTGCGGTTCTCACAGCCGCCTAAAGACATGGGAGCGTGGCTGGAACTGAGAAGAAGTGAAACCTGGTTAGGAAGGAGGATGAAATGGAAATTCCTCTGCAGTGTGGAGAGAGGCTCAGCAGCCTCCCCATGGGTCCTGTGCAAACTGGGAGGCAGGCAGGCCCGAGAGCCCCTGAACCCGGGGCCCGGGGAAGCGGAGGAGGGGGCCTATCCTGGGATTCCTAAAACCTGAGCCTCCTCCCACCTGCCTCAGTGCCCTCATTCATGAACATAAGGGTGCCTGTGGCTACAGCCTCTGTGGCCTGCAGCCATCTGTGGGCTGGAGGGCTCACCCACAGCAGGCCTTCTCTCTCGGCTCACTACCCTACCTCTCTGTGAGAAGCCTGAGCTGTAGACACAAAACAACATGCTCTCGGCATGCTACTTGCATGTGCCTGAGGTTTATCTGACAGTTGGAAATTCACCTCCTTTCCCCATCTGTCCCTCTCCCCTCTGGGACCACCAAGTCACCTGGTGGCTCCCTCCTGCTCCTGGCCCTGTTCCTTCCCTCTAATCCACAGGTTGCAAACAAGGAGGCTTTCAGGCAATATTAGCCAGACTACGTATACTTTTCTTCTTTAATTTTTATTACTTGTCAGGTAATTTCACTTAAAAATCTAAATTCCTTGTTTCTCTTGAAAAACAAGAAGCTATATGAATACCAGGCCAGCATTTCCAGCCTCTGTTCCTTTAGCCAGGGCCCAGCTTTCCAGGTCTCCCGGTCCCTACCACCTCTGAGAGTTTCCCCACCAGGCCTCTTCCCTCGCCCTCCTGGCCCCCAGCAGTTGAGTGTGTGCAGCCCCCACCCCAGACTACTAGGAGAAATGGGCTCGGGGCCTCCTCTGCAAAATTGGGATAGGGCTGGGTGGGCTCTGAAAGCTTGCTGATGTTCCAGAACTGATCGGGGGTCTAACCACATCCACTCCCCCAGGTCTACATCACTGTGCTGGACGAGAATGACAACAGCCCCCGGTTTGACTTCACCTCTGACTCGGTGGTCAGTGTGCCCGAGGACTGCCCTGTGGGCCAGCGAGTGGCCACCATCAAGGCCCGGGACCCTGACGCTGGCAGCAATGGGCAGGTGGGCATGAAGCAAAATAGCCAGGATTGGTCCCGTCAGTAGGGGCTGCCCCAGCTCCTCAGCTGGAGGGGCCTCCTAAGCCATCCTCAGCCCAAAGCAGGAAGAGGGGCTCATTCAGGCCCTGCCTTGGCCTGGAGCAGGGCACCCTGCACCCGCCCCAGTCTGTGCTCAGGGAGAAGGGGCAGAGCTGCAGAGGCTGGGGGTCCCACCTAGGTCGAGTGGACACGGAGCCTGAAGGCCAGCCACAGCCCAGCCCCCACAGTGAGGTGAAAGCAGAGTTCGGTTTTCCAGGTGACTCCTTCCCCTCTGCATTCACAAACCACACAGCACCTGGCTTCTTGTGTGCCAGCCCAGAGGCCCAGGGCCCCAAGAGGACACGCTCCTCCTCCGTCCTGCTTCCTGGCCCCTAGCCCCAGCAGGAGGCACTCCCCATCGCCCCAGGTTTGGACACCCCAGCGTGCAGGGAGGAGGGGGTGAAGAGGCACCTGGATGTCACCGCTCTCCTCTGCTCTGTGCATTGCTGGGGTGTTCACAGGGGTTTTCGGGATGGCTTGCACACCCCAGGGCCAGGGTATGCTGGCTTTTGGGTCAAAGCATGTCAGCATCTACAGGCCGTGTGGCCTTGGCCGGTTGTGTCACTTCCTGAGCCTCCTCTCTGTGAACTGAAGAGAATAGCCTCTTTCCGACAGGGTTGTTGTGAGCGCGCAGGGGTTTTCGGGATGGCTTGCACACCCCAGGGCCAGGGTATGCTGGCTTTTGGGTCAAAGCATGTCGGTATCTACAGGCCGTGTGGCCTTGGCCGGTTGTGTCACTTTCTGAGCCTCCTCTCTGTGAACTGAAGAGAATAGCCTCTTTCCGACAGGGTTGTTGTGAGCGCCAACTAGATCCATGCAAGTCCACAGCACATGGCCACTTCCTTCTGCCCTGGGAAGACGTCGGTGCCGCAGGGCTCACACCCCACTCTCCTGACCCCCATGCCACAGTGCTGACATCCCCAAGCCCAGGAACCTGCCACAGGCACTGTGCCACCCCCATCCAAGGGACATAAACCACTCTATTCTCAAAAGCCCTTGCTGAACAGAGGACTGTCCCCCTTGGCCTGACCTGACCACCTCTCCTTCCCCTTCTCGTCCCCTCACTCTCTCTCCTCCTTGACAGGTGGTCTTCTCCCTGGCCTCAGGAAACGTCGCTGGGGCCTTTGAGATCGTCACCACCAATGACTCCATTGGTGAAGTGTTTGTGGTCAGGCCCCTGGACAGAGAAGAGCTGGATCACTACATCCTCAAGGTGGGGACTGGCCCCCTCGGGCTGAGAGGCGGCTGGCTCAGCTCCTGGACCAGTCACAACTGACCATCCAGGAGGGGACTCAGCCATCAGCATGCCCTGGCAGTCGGTTTCCCCACTGTCATCAAGTACTGGGACAGGCTGCACCCCTCAGGGCCAAGTGAGGCCAACCCCAGACAGGGTGACCTGGGTAGGATCTCTGGATTCCCGGGAGGAAGCTGCTGAGGTATCTTCCCTGCTTTAGGGGCCAGGAGAGAAAGTCTAGCAAACTGGTAGAGCCCTGACTCTTCCACAAATGCACCATGGCCTTGGGCGAGTTATTTACTCTGTTTGAGCCTCAGTTTCTCCACCAGTACAATGGGCAAAAAACCCTGACCTGGCCTTCCTCTGCCGAGGTGAGAAACGAGTGCAGGTGTGAGGATCTGAATTGCCGTGGCTATCATGTTCAGTGAGGGGTCTCTGGGGCTCAGGGCTGTGCTTCTGCACTTACTGGAGTACTTACTGCTGTCCTGAGGTATCTGGGCAGCATCGAGGCTCCCGGGGACAGGATCACCTATGGTTAGGACTCCGGCTCATTGCTGAAAAGGTCGCTCGAGGCTCTTTCCCTATTTGCCAGAGTCCAGATCTGAGTGCATGGAATAGAGTCCTGGGAAGCTAAAGGCAGGAACCCTGGGTCAGGTGGCAGGTCCGGGGTCTTAGGGTCAAGGTCAGGGGCTGACACATCCCAGAATACAGTCAGGGGTAAAGACTCGGGTACACTGGAGTCAGATTGCAAATGAGGGTCCCAAGTGAGACAAGAAGTGGTCAAAGATTGTTTGCAGCGTGGGGTGAAGGTAAAAGCTTTGGGGAGATCCCTGAGCTGGCCAGGACACCCAGGGAAAGGATGGGCCAGCCAGCCTTTCACCCCGCAAGTCCTCCCCACGAGTGGACAGCCCTTTTGGAGTCCGTATTCCTGCTCCCCATGCACCCTTTCCCCTAACTTCAGTCATCCTCCTCCTCGCAGGTTGTGGCTTCTGACCGTGGCACCCCTCCACAGAAAAAGAACCACATCCTGCAGGTGACCATCCTGGACGTGAATGACAACCCTCCAGTGATCGAGAGCCCCTTTGGTTACAATGTCAGTGTGAATGAGGTGAGGGCAGCTCCGGTGACAGTGGGCGTGAGCCAACCACAAAGCACCCGTTTAAATGTCTGCCTGGCCCTCTAGTCCCTCAGGACTTGGGGTAGGGACTGTGGCTCATTCAAATTACGTCCCTAATGCCTAGCTGGGGTCCTGGAACTCGGTGTCTTTTTGCAGTAGGGAAAAAAGGAGAGAAGAGGGAAAGAAGAAAAGATGCCTTTTACCTGACAGGGAACTGAGGCTTATCCTGGGAGAGCTTCTTTTTTAAAGAAAATGTGTCTATTATTCAGTCCTGAGGTTGAGCCACTCCAGGAGAATTGTTGGCCCAGCACTGCTGGGTTTCATGCCAGGTTGGACATTCATGAGGCAGATGGCATAGGGTACAGCCTGGCTCCCAGGCCACTGACCGGCGGTGTGGACTTGCACACATCCCTTCCTGCACCTCGGTTTTCTCATCTGTAAGTAGGGATGACACTAGTACCTGACTGTAGTTTGTAGACAAGATTCAATAAGTTAGCATGGCCCTGGCATGTGCTAGGTGCCCACAGGATGTTTGCCACCATCGTCCCAATCATCCCCATCACTACTCCAGGGTAGACAGAGCAAAGCTTTGGGGAGGTCCAGCTGAGGCCTTTGGGTAACCAGGAGCAGGTGCTAGACTTTGCCCCAAAGGCCTTGAATCCAGAACGACCACTCTCCCGCTCTCCTCCCAGAATGTTGGCGGGGGTACTGCCGTGGTCCAGGTGAGAGCCACCGACCGTGACATCGGCATCAACAGCATCCTGTCCTACTACATCACCGAGGGCAACGGGGACATGACCTTCCGCATGGACCGCATCAGCGGCGAGATCGCCACACGGCCCGCCCCACCCGACCGCGAGCGCCAGAGCTTCTACCACCTGGTGGTCACTGTCGAGGACGAGGGCACCCCCACCTTGTCGGTGAGTGATGGGGGCGACCACAGGAAGGAGAGGGTGGGCCAGGGCAGCTCCAGCTTCTGTGTGAGGGGAACAAGACGGGTGGGAACAGAATTCCACGCAGTGGGTGAATCCTCGGCAACTCCTTAATCGTGCCGTTAGTCTGGCAGCCTCAGTACTTGGTGGGAGTCTGTTGTGTGCAAAGCTGGGTGCTAGTACCTTGAGTCTACAGCTGCTGTGAACCTCTATTCAGGCTTCTTTGCTCTTGCAGAGCAGCTCTATGGGATGGTACAGGTTGAGCCCCTACATGGGGGCCTGGGCCAGGGAGCTGGTGGGAGCTGAACTCAGCCTCACTGCACACTCCAAGCTGTGCACTGTGGGACACGCTATCCATATGGTGGTGCCTCATGGAAAAGGGCCCCCCACGCCCTCTTCCCCTACATCATGTTGGTGTGACACACTGTCACAACATGAGGGCTGGAAGGGACTGATGTCTGTGGTCCAGACTGATGCTGGAATGAATGGGGCCGCTGCCTGTGGCAATGTTTAAAGTCTGCAAGGTTAGAGAAGGAGGTGCAGACCCAAGGGCTGGATGGTGACTGTCTGGGAGTGATGGGCTACGGTGGGAGTCGTGTGTAAATTGAGAGCAAGGAATTTGGAGTCAAGAGCACTGTGAGCTGGCTGCATGATGACAAGCAAGTTGGAACCTCTCAGAATATCAGTTTTGTCATCTGCAAAAGGGAGATAATATCTACCTCGTAGGTGTTGTCTGGGGAATCCAATTAGCTCATGTCCGTGGAAGCACTGGTAAACCATGAGGAGGAGAAAGATTGTATCAGCTATCTATTGCCACAATAATGCTGCATTATAAACCAAACAAAACACAGAGGCATAAAACAGCCACCACTTATTTAGCTCCAGTTCTGCAGGCTGGCAGTTTGGTCCTGGCTTAGCCAGGTGGTTCTGGTCTCAACCAGGCTCCCTCATTCGTGTACGTGCAGCTGCATGTCAGTTGGGCGGCTGTTGGCTAGGGTGGTGGGTGACTCCTCTTCTAGAGGGCTAGCCCACGCGTGTTCACACAGAGCTGGAAAGGCCCAGGAGGGAAGGCAGAAGCATGCAGGGCCTCCCACCTCCCTGGCTTGGAACTGGCACAAGGTCACTTCTGCTGCATTCTGTCAGCTAGAAGAAGTCACAAAGCCAGCCAGATTCAAGATGCAGGTAGATCAACTCCACCTTTTGTAGGAAGGAGCTGAAAGTCACATTGTAGAGTATGGAATCAAGGGTAGCAGATTTGGGCACCCTAGCTACAAGAGAGGTTGGAAAAAATGAGGGACAGGATTGTCATAACTGGCTTATTTATTACTTGGGGACCAGATACATCACTGCCCCATACAAAAGCAGAACTCTGTTAGTGAGGAAGAGGTAGAGAATAGTTTGCAGGGGCATCTGACCGCATTTGCCACACTACCCTTCCCCATCCTGACATGGGCCTGTCAATGCACCACTCCCACCCCCACACATACCCACACTCCTAGAGTTTCCCAGGGAGGCAGTCGATGGGACCCATAAGACTCTAAGATGCTGAGGTTTAGAGTTAAAATCAGGCTTCCTTTGGTCCCCAGAAGAAATGGGAATTGAGGAAGTGGAAAACCAGCCTAGCTACATTTAACCACCCAGAATATGTGGGCCACTACCCAACAGCTCCTGCAAAACTTGGGATTGAAAAGAAAGGTTTTCCATCTGTTGGACAGACCCTCTGCAGAGACCCATCCCAGCCCCATGGGGACCATAAACACTCCCTCATCTCATGCCCGTCCCTGACATTCTGGCCCTCCTTGAAGCAGAGCTCAGCCTGTCCCAGCTCCCTGGTGAGAATGTGGGAAGTTGGGTGGCATCCATCCTCCTCATCTTGGTCATCAGCAGCTTTGCTTCCCAAGGTCCCAGAAAATACCCTCAGGATGACTAGGATCTGGGATGGGGCTCCAGAGGCCATCTTTGGGGGAATAGGTATATGGCCTCTTGGGCTGAATCAGACCCTGGCCTTCTCCAGACTATAATACAGACAAACAGTGACAGGTACCAACCTGAAACGGATTTACAGGAGAAAAATTTTAAGTCGAAAAGAGTCCATTCCTTCAATTTTTTCCCCAGCTTCTTCAAGTTGAGAAAAGATCTCTATTATTTGATTTTTGCAGCAGGTACATCAGTGAAAAACTACAGTGACCACCGGATTTACAGGAGAAAAATTTTAAGTCGAAAAGAGTCCATTCCTTCAATTTTTTCCCCAGCTTCTTCAAGTTGGGAAAAGATCTCTATTATTTGATTTTTGCAGCAGGTACATCAGTGAAAAACTACAGTGACCACAGGAACATAGTTTAGTAAGCTAGCACTAAGGCCCTGTTTGTTCATTCATTCATTCACTCATTCCTTCAGTCAGCCAGTGTTCCCTGGAGCCTGCTATGTGCTAGGTGCTGCAGACACAGAGATGAAGATCATGTGGTCCCCAGCCTAAAGAAACGCAGTTGAACAAGGGAAGCCATGAGGACATCCACGTGGGGATCACAGTGCAGAGCGGACACTGGGAAGGGCTTGGGGAAGGCTTCCTGGAGGAGGCAACATCTGGACTGAGTCTTGTCAGTCAGTCATGTTAGCACAGCCCAGGGGGCAAGCATATTCTGGACCTGGGGGTCAGCCTGAACAAAGGCCTAAGAGCAAGCAATAATCAGGGTGGGTTCAGGGAGCTGCAGGCAGTTCAGGCCCAGGGTGGCACTCAGAGCAGCGGGCAGCGCTCTCTAGCTATATATCCTCCACACAACTTTCTGTCTGGGGCTCGCCCCAGGGGCCAGTCCCACTTCTTTCTCAAGAGCCCCCTCCACTCCCTTCTGGCCTCGCTGAGCCAGGGTGGGGCTGGGCAGAAGCTGGCAGGTTGGCCTTGTCTCCAAGGAGCGCCGGACCCTTAAAGATTTGCTTCCATTGACCAGAACTTCACTTCTGGGCAATGGACCCCTCAGGAGCATGAGTGTCCCCAAGGGCAGAGCCAAGGGCCAAACTGGAGGTGACCAAAACAGAACCCTTCTCTGCCACTGGGAAGATTTCACTGGATGGGTGTTTGAAGAAGGAGAATCATCCCAACCCCTCCTGGAGCAACCAGAGCCCAAGCAACATGAGGCTGCCAGCCTGACATTCCAGGAAATGGCACATGGTCTAACGGGGGTGGGAGAGCAGGTGCCGCCCGACCCAGATCTGTCCAGAGAAACCCAGCAGGCCTGCACACATCCTCCTACTCCCACCCGTAGTTATCTGCCTGGACTCAAGCCAGCCCTCCCTGGCACAGGACCAACCTTCCTGGAGGACAAGGGCATGTAAGATTCTTTCATTCGCTCATTTGACACCAACTACGTGCCAGGCCTGAGCTAGAGGCTAAGAAGCCAGAGATGAGTTCTCTGGGCAATGGACCCCTCAGGAGCATGAGTGTCCCCAAGGGCAGAGCCAAGGGCCAAGCTGGACGTGACCAAAACAGAACCCTTCTCTGCCACTGGGCAGATTTCACTGGATGGGTGTGTGAAGAAGGAGAATCATCCCAACCCCTCCTGGAGCAACCAGAGCCCAAGCAACATGAGGCTGCCAGCCTGACATTCCAGGAAATGGCACATGGTCTAACGGGGGTGGAGAGCAGGTGCCGCCCGGCCCAGATCTGTCCAGAGAAACCCAGCAGGCCTGCACACATCCTCCTACTCCCACCCGCAGTTACCTGCCTGGACTCAAGCCAGCCCTCCCTGGCACAGGACCAACCTTCCTGGAGGACAAGGGCATGTAAGATTCTTTCATTTGCTCATTTGACACCAACTACGTGCCAGGCCTGAGCTAGAGGCTAAGAAGCCAGAGATGAGTTGGGCACAGGTCTGCCCTCCAGGAGCCTACAGTCTGGTGGGGGAATAGATGTGTCACAGAGAGTTGACACTCTGTGATGTGATGGAGTGCCAGGAGCTCAGAGCCAGGGAAGGTTTTCTGGAGGAGGAATCATTTGTATCTCTGTCTTAAAGGATGAGGGTNGAGCCAGGGAAGGTTTTCTGGAGGAGGAATCATTTGTATCTCTGTCTTAAAGGATGAGGGTCTCTAAGCAGACGGCCTGGGATTCAGCTGCCAAGAGCTCCCACAAAGCCAAGAGAAACCCTGTATCTGATCCCCCATTTCTACCTTTCTTCCTGCTCACCCCACCCCACCAGTTTCCTGAGAGCTGGACCTTCCTGCAAACAGCCTAGACCACCTCCACCCAGCTTGGCTCCTTAACACTCAGCCTCGGAACAACGGTGCTGCAAGGGGCATCCGGACCAGCCTGAGGCCTGCCACACAATGGTGTGCCACCCGGCCAGGGGAAGTCATTGTGCAGCCTCGGCTGCCTGGCCAGCTCCAGTCCACGGTCAGGGAGACCAGGCTTGGGGGAGAGGTCTAAGTGTCCGTCCAGAAGGCCCCTGCAAGAGGAAGGGCTGGTCCTAGGGAGGAAGGACGGAAGGCAACTGGGAGGTCAGGAGCCAAGCCCAGCCTCAGAGGCACATAGAGAAGGGTGGGGAGGGGAGCAGGGCCTGACCACAGCCTCCCTGACACCTGAATCATGCCAAAAGGTAATACAATCCCAGATAACAAGCCCTGGCTTCTCAGGCTAGTGAGGACCTGCCCAAGCCTCCTCTTCAGGTGGGACAGAAAGTCTTCCACCACCCACTTCTGGTGTGTAAGTCCCCAGCAGTGGCCCCATGATGGTCTATGAGCTGGGGACACAGCTCCTAACTGCTCACCTCATGTCTTTAGGGCAGAGGGCTCTTCTTTTTATTAAACTTGGACCTGCTGCTGTTGAGAACCCTCCTTCCCCTGGCTTGAGCTCAGGAAAGCCCAAACTGGGCCTTTCCCTGTGCTACGCACCAAGCAGGCCAGGCTTCTCTGGCCCAGCATGAATAAATCTGGACCACATTCCTTTAGCTTTGCTTCTTGAGGGATGTTCTGCATCTGCTCAAATGCCACACATATGACTGGCTAAGTTCCTCCAAGATACCTTGAGGCTCAGTGGTTAGCTGAGCGTTTCTCCCTTCCCCGTGCCCCGATGCAAACAAGAGGGGCACAAGGGCCACTGTGCCTACCAGGGGTCTTGTGGCTTCACAGCTGCCAGGCAGAAAGGGGGCGGCAGGAGCTGTTGTGGAAGGAGCCCACACATCAGCAACAGGCTCTTCTGGACCCATGAGAAGCCCAGGCTGGGTAGGCAGAGTGCAGACAGGAACATCTGTAGTGTGGAGTAAGGTGGAACCACAGACTTGTGGACATGCGCTTACCTCCCAGGGCCCAGTTGTGTACTGTAGACAAGTCCAAGGTGAAGGCTAAGCCAGGCCCTGGCCTGTAATGTCATTCAATACAGTGAAAAGGGAGGAACACAGTGGGAAGCAGGAAACCGGGCATTAGTCCCAGTTCAACCATTCACTTGTTTTGACAAGATACAAACCTTTCAGAACCTCAGTTTCCCGATGCACTGAATGGGACAACAAGCCTCTCAGGATTTTTGGGGGGGTGTGGGGAGGGATCAAAAAGCAATAACACATTTGAAACACATGTTTAGGAAACACATATTTTGTAAAGAGTATTACAACAGAAAAGGCAACGATAAGGCACACATACTACTACTTCCCTCTCCTATGCCCAAGGCAGACATTGCTAGCCGATTTCAGCACTTTCTCCCTAGCTATATTGATATTTCAGAATCCCTCTCAATATGTATTCCTGGAAGCCATACCAATACATCAGAATTGCCAAACAAAGTGAAACATCTGCCCCCTGTGCTGAGCAAGCTTAGGGCATTATTGCTGTTGAGATCCCACCGGGCCCAGATGAAGCTGCTGGAACCTAGAGCTCGTAGAAAGTCAGAGGTGGCCCTCCACGTC